CTGGATTTTCACGGGTGATTCGAAGTCAGTTCCATGGCGGGAGAAAGTTTTTCTCCGATTAATCACCTTTTCCCCTGTCGATCATCATATCACCGCTGTTTCACTCTTGTCTGTCACAGTCGCATGGCGTCTGCGACACATTATCATATCTCGGGACCAAATTAGGGCCCTCTTCTCTGGACCGACATTTGGCTGGCCACGGTATGAAGGTAGTTTAGTAGCCTACTGTCCTCTCATCTGCGCAGTACGAATTTTTGAAGCTCCTCCTCACAAGTCGATGACGTAGAGACTTCTTTCCTGTTTCTTTCGTTCAGAGTTGCTCCAGACAAACAGGATTCTATAAGCTCTTGGGGCTGCACTGAAGATGTCCTCGCTGCCGATAATTTTTCGCGTAAAAGCGCTACTGCGATTTCTGAGTGGCTCTCGACAGAACAGTCGCGAAAAACGTTAATTTTTTTATACACGGCGCCAATTTCTATCGAAACCCGACGAGCAAAGAAATGATTGTCTTATGGGACGTTGCTGATCCTTGTGGTCTGGTAGAAACTTAACGACGTTTCGTCACCTTGATGACTGAAACGTCGTTCACGGTCTCTCATGAGCAGTTTCAGGGTGTTCGAACACGACCAAGTAGCCAATCGTCTGTCATGAAATAACCATCACCCTGAGGTCCGTCTTGCGCAGTCACCCACAGGGAACAGGCTGAACGGAAAATAAGGAAAGAACCGAAAATGAAACACAAGGAAAGGCGCGGTTCGTGCTGTCCGGCTGCTTTGGTTCCGTTTCTGCCAGACTGTACCATGTAGGTCCCTGACCTACGCAACGCCGTGGAATGCAACAAACAATATAGCCGTCGGGGGTTGCGGTGAGCTGCGGGGGGGGGGGCTGTTGCCCCATTCCCTGTTTTACACACTGCAGGCTCTCCTGTTTCCCCTGCCACAGACACACAGAAAAGCTGTTCGTTTGGATATCATAAAAACTAGAGTTTGATGAAGCAATACAAAAATTCTGTCCGCAGGTCCCACATCAAGAGATGGCTTGGCTCAGAAGACGATTTTGATGTGGATCTAAGTTGTAACTATCGTAAACATTACATGACATCTTAGTTGATTGTAATCATGTGGTGGAGCGTCGTTAAATATTGTCGGCGATGTAATGTATTAACAGCTGCTGTAATTCGATGTCAGGCATTGTTTTGCGAGGTAAGAAGTGCATTTTTAAAAGCTATTTAAACGTGTTAGCTGTAAGTCAGTATGTATCTGGAAGGTCTTATGAAATACCAATTGGATTAAGGTTTTCCGTGATTTTCCCCTGTAGTAGAGTTGGTATCCAAATTCCACCAAGATCGCCCCTTGTCGGCTATCGGCAATTTTATATTCAATATATTTGCATACATCTTCCACGTCGCGTAGTCGATTCCTCTACATGCAACACGACAAAAGTGCTGTGACCTGAGGATAAGGGACACTTTGAAGCCCGAAGCTCGCCTAAATAATATTTAAGAATTCAGTTCGTACCGCGGAGAAAACACTTCACTTCACCATTACTTTCATCAACTGGTTAAAGCTGTTTATGGAAGTAATCGCTGTTTTTACTGAGAAAGCTGGTTAAAGCTGTTTAAGGAAGTAATCGCTGTTTTTACTGAGAAACATACTAAATCCACACGCACACTCTGTGGGCAAAATTCAGAGTTATTAAATTTTTAAGGCATGTGGTATTTGTAGTTACAACTGTGCTCTAAATGCTCAGAAAGATTATTTGGACCAAACAAGGGATGGAGAAAAAATACACAACAAGAAATCTATTGGACGTTCAACTCGAAGAATTTTCGAAAACAGGGACCCACGATCAGGATAAAATTAAAAAGGCAATGTGTTTTGTCGTAGTGAGAGGCCAAGCGCCACTGGATCTTGGAAGCATCCCAAGTGAGACAAGGAGATAATGTCGGTATCTGTATTTTTCTCTCACGTGGGTTGAACTAGACTTGTTCAAAAACTTAGAATGTCCCTCCCCTCACCACATCTTGCGTAGCGCGAGACACTCCCGTTCACCCTGCCTGTAACGAGATAGCGTCTGACCTCGGGTCGAGACTGCACCACTGGGAAGTAGCGCTGTTCTGCTATCGATCGCCTTCGAGGGCTGCCGACGGCGGGAATCGATCTCCGGTCACAGAGACGGCGGCAGTGCGCGCCACTCTTGCACGCAGTGTGAAAGCCTTCAGTCAATCAGGGCTGCCACTTCACTCACCTTACAGCTCGAAAGGAAAAAATAAACAGGAACATGGCGAGGCGTATAAATAATATTTAAAGATTCAGTCCGTACCGCGAAGAAAACACAAGACTTCACCATTACAAAGATCAACTGGTTAACGCTGTTTAAAGAAATAATCGCTGTTTATTCTGAGAACCGCGAAGTTCATACACTCTGTGGATAATGCCCAGAGTTAAGAGTGTTAAATCAGGTGGTACACATAATTACCAGTGGTCTTTAAGTGATCTGTTTCTCATCACCAGCGATTTCTCTTTCCAAATTTTCTGTTGCGATAATACGCTCATAGAGCGTAAATAAACTTTCCACTTAAATAATACCTTTGCCCAATGCTTGCCCCCCCCGCGACGCCAGACAGTGGACAGACGACCGCGTCTCGACACCGAGTAAGGAATTGAGCTCTTTTCCTGCAGTAGCGCGCTGTTGTGAACACGGTAATGAACATTCGGGTGTTTAAAGGGATGAGAATTGATTCATTAGCTGAGTTTAATATTGGATATTCAAGAAAGACTCTACTAAATGGTGTTTGTTATTTAGAGTGAGAAGGTGGTATGGGGCACCTACCAATCATTATTATGACATCCATTCCTCCTGTTTCAAGTCTGACTCCACCCGTGGCTCAACTCAGTACAAACAACCATTCGACACCGACTTCGGATGATTTAGTCATGTGGTTCTTTGGATAGAACCCCGAATTGTTGTTCCAAAAACACGCGGAATATTATTGCCAGCGGTAAGAATGCTCGCAAGATTTTTAATGAAACTTAGTGGATCTCTATGCACTGAGGCGTACCAGAAACTTCGTGTTTAAAAAAAAAATACATTGCGAGGAAACACGAGTGAACACGAAATTTGCGATATTACTAAAATGGATGTAACGGAAATAACAAAGATACGATCAGATTTACAAACGGCGAGATTTTGTTATTGAATTTGGTTTATTTTTCCGGTAAGACATTTGTTTTTCGGTATGAATCAGGAACCCCTTTTTAATGTTAGTGGATTTAGCTGTGACGTAATCCATGTCTGTCGACTTTAAAATTGTTTTAATCGTGATGGTAGTTCCAACTCTTTTTTTGTTCAGGAGTTCCCAAGTTTCAAATCTCGGTTATACCTGACAGAGGTTTTTCATTTTTTCCTAATTCCTAGTAAATAACACGATGTACTTAAATTAGTTATTCAACATTCTCTACAATTTATTATTAGTTAATTATGCTATAATTCAACGCTACATTGAACTGTTTACAGTGTCGTTAAATAATCCGCGCGTAATAAATAGTTTCAGAAATGTTTTATTGAGCCCTCGTTCTAGGTTAACGTGATGTCTCAGTCGTACTGAGTCTCTTGGTACGCGCATAAGTTACTAGGCAACCAAAATGCCGAGTAATATTCTAACCCCAGAGCAAAGCGAGGGGCAAGACAGAGCCCCACTGAAAATGATCACTACCTGTTTTTCATACACACAACTGCAAGGGTTCTCATCCCGCGACCCACAGAAGTATTTCCGACGGCCCGCATATATTTTTGGAAAAAATAAAATAAATTACTTGGTGTCAGAAAAACACGTTTTGTTAATGTCGTCAAAATGACCGATTTTGCTATAAAAGAATTATTATCTAATATTTGAACCTGTTTGCGATAGCAAGTTAGTATTATTTTAATAAATTTTTAAGAACTTTCTATAACTTTTCTCATTTATAAATATCCCGATGCGCGGATAGATAAGAAAGGGTGAATGCATTCCCAGGTCTCAGAAAAGTTAGAACCTCGACTTCGTTTGTTATCAGATTGCAGTAATTTAAACCTGTAAACAATAATGTGTCAACTTTATGTACGGGTCTCTAATGCATCCTAGAATAAACAAGGATTTTTTAAAACGGCTTTAACCAACTCATCTTTGTCATGGACTCTATTTATACGTATTATTTAGGCGAATGTAAACGCGTTATTATAGATTGTAATAGGCCACCACCACTTCATTCAACCGGTCATTATACCACTGAACGTATACAGTTGCCAGACCGTCCGTAAAAAAAAAACTGGGGGTGAATCAGCACTTTAGGCGTTTGCCACTCCACCGGACGTCATGACTACTTCGCGTTCGGGACGGATTAAAAATGTCCAGAAAAGTAAGGGACTGTCCGTGGTGAATAAAACTACTCTAAACGCAGCCAAATCAAGAAAGAGAACAAGCAGGATTCGTCCAATGATACCCGCTATTCACAAAACCACGAATTAGAATTTAGCGCATGCGCCAATATATGAATGCGGTTATAACCGCTTCATGGTGGTATAAGTAACAGATTTGGTGTGAGAAAATAACATTGACAGAACAATATGTTAGGTTAGAATGTGAATTTTATTGTTTTCGGTGTTAACAATCGATTATGTGTTGTTAGAGTAATCCTCAGCAGGAGGCAGTGTCGCCGGTTACAGTTAAACAACAATGGCAGCGCACGAGGGTGGCCGTGGTCATTGTTGACAAGTCGTGTGTATGCAATTCTTTCCCCCCTCCCGAAAAAGAACTGGTTTGGGCGTGGCGTGGCGAGGCGAAATATCGGAGCTGCTGCATGTGCAATGCAGCGACGGAGCCATGAAAAAGTGTCAGGGTCAGTCTGCTGGCAGCAGTCTTACTGCTAGGATCTTGAGCTCTGTTCCCTCTCGGGCAACTTCGGCCGGTTACCATCATCGGCGGCCGGCGTGGGTCCAATCCATATCCCAAAAGGTCATTAGAGTACCGGAAGTGCTTCTGCTGCTGCTGCTGCTGCTGCTGCAATATTTTTTTGGCGGGTAGGGAGGGAGAGGGGGACACTTCCACGGGTCGATCAAAAGTGCGCGTGTACGAGAGATGAAAACAAAAAAAAATTGCGTGCAAAAAATCGACGACTGCGGCGACCATTGATGTGACGCTGGCGTTATCGACCGTTTCGCAAATTTAATTGATCGCATTTTGTTTTCGTTTCTTTTTCGTGGAACCCCTCCTCCAATCCCCTCTCCAAACGTTTGCTAAAGATCGCATCGAAGACGCGGCAAGGCGGTGCAACGTGTTGCGTCATGAGCGGCGTGACGTCACTGTAGGGTGAAGGCAAAAATGGCGGAGTGCTCGTATGCTCGCTGCGTTCAGGAGCGCCGAGCGATCAAAAAAGAGCTGCAAAGATGGACGAAGAACATGGTTTTCGTAGTAGGTGAGTGCACTAAGTGTTGTTGCAACACCAGAGAAATTAACATGCTGCATTCTGAGGTAGCGTGGTACCAAATATTTGCGACCTGTTGCCAAAAAATCCCTAAAACAATTCGGCAAGGGGGTCAGGATTGCAGTTAGCCGGGACCCCCCGATGCACACGGCCATGTTTCCGGTTGCATCTTCGTTCAGGGGCGGTATGGTCGCCAACTTGTGTGTTAGAAGGTGTAGGTAGGCGCGTGGTGCGACTGTGTGTGCACGTGTTTTGTGCAAATTGGAGCGCATTTGTGTTTGGTGTTGAGTGAAGTATCAGCTGGTTCGGGGGGTCGTGCTTCCTGGCTGGAACAGCCCGGCCCTACTTGTCATCGACTGAGTACGTACGTAACTGCTTCTTCCATGACCCACCGCAATATTCGTGAGGTAAATATGGAAAAGTAGGTGAAGCAAAATGTTTCAAGATGCGAAGTGAATTCGTTGCAGCAGCAGCTGCACGCACAGTGCATTGAGACGTTGCAGGCAGGTAAATTGGGTCTCGAAGTCCCATTTTGCGACACAAATATATTGTCGGCACCTGTGGCTTCCGCCCCTCACGTGCAAAATTTAACGGCTGTGACTATTTGTTGTAGGTTTGGAAAGAGTAGCTGAGGAGCTGATGGGCAGACGGAAATGGAAGCAGTACCAAGATTTAGTGTTGAAGACGCCACTCAAACTAGATACAGAGGATTGGGAGCCACAAGACAAGTGCTGTATGTGTGATGGCAGAGCGTTTTTAGACTCCGCGACGGTAAGTCGCACACCTTTTAATATTATCCTGAGCCAGCATGTTTTTATTTGGTGTGATACCCCCCCCCCCTTTCGGTGTTTCATGTGGTTTTAAAATTGTTTAGTGTCAGTATTTCACGGTGTTAATTAAGTGGTTTTGACCCGAAAAGTGACTCTTCATAAGTCGACAAGGAATTTTGTGTTAAAAATAATTTGCATTCTGGAAAGTTATGTACCAAAGCACAGAACATCTGATGCAGGTTTCAGAACCGTATATTATTTCGAAAACAGGGGGAGTGCAATAAAAAAGAGTACAAAATTAATTTTAGTATTCATTGGCTGTGGTTTCGAAACAGCAGAAGTAGCATAATTTCTGTTTATGTTTCTTGACAAACAAATTGACTTTTTTATTTCTTTCTAAATTTGAATTGTTCGTTGGAAAATTTTCTAGGTCAAACTTAATTTTGAAAATACCCCGTTGTGGAGTTTGAAACTTCTTCAATTCTACGGAATTTCAAGAAATCGTATTCAGTCAGCTTCTTATTTATTCTTCTACTTAAGTGTCTTAAAATGTGGTTAATTTTCCATCAGAGGACATAAATACAGTTGCATGTATCATCTTGTACATGTTCCCTACCTCCGGTTTATTTTTGTTATAATTTTGAAGTTATTTGAGACTTATTTTAATGTACCACTCAGACAAACCTCGGTCGTGAGGGCGAACTTTTCAAACTGCAAGTGCTTGTCAATTCTGTAGTCCGGTGGGTGGTTACCAGCATTTCTCAGAAACACCGATGGAGCTTTCTAAATTTGTTTCCCGTTCAAATATATCATCGTCTAGGGCTTGGGTAGGAGAGTATTAAATGCATTTTGAGGAAATGACGTACGGAAGTTTAAGGTGGATCGAACGCGCCCTGCCCGTCGTCTGTGGCGACCGATTCATAATGGCAAGAAATTTGTATTTTTTACTTTTGAAAATATTTTAATAGTTTACCCCAAACTTTGCGTGATCGGCGGCAAGAGACGTTTTATTGAAGTGTGCAGCATCAGTGTCGTGAAGCCACACAATTCCGCCACCAAGAATCCATAAAAACTTCCTGTTTGTAGGTCATATCCATTGTTACGGACAATAAAACTGGTACGTTTGGTAGTCGTGCTGCGGTCTGGAGACAAACCTACGCTTGCATGTCCTTGCACTGAGGAGCCACAATCAAATTTCGGTCCGTCTCGTGTCTTTTGCTCTAATGCCGTCAGGTTGCGCATGAAGGGTAGCTGCAGATATGTTGAATGAGGACTCTTGGGCAGCTGATAAGGGATGGTCCTCCAATCTGGTGGTTGGGTAGGGGGCTGACCCCCCCCTGTAATATAAGAACCCAGCATGATATGAGATTTTACACATGGGCTTGCAGGTTTTGTTAATGCATTAATAAATCTTTGGGTTCTGTAAGAGGAAGGGAGTTGGTTGAAAAGCTGAGCAAAGTAAAATGAACGGCGTTCCTCGGTGTTTCTTACAACCGAGTGATTAACACTTTTTGAATTTATGAGATTTCAGGTTTTCATGGCAGTGGTTTGAAGATGACTGTCTTCTGAGATGCTGTACTGCGTAGTCTCGTGGAAATTGACTGACATTTTAGAGGCGATTATTGCCTTCGTCGTCGAATTGAAGAGGTGTTCTGAGACATTGGTTGATTTATACTAGACTGTTTGGCACAGCATCTTAGATGGCTGTCTCTCTTTGCTGAATTTATTCTTCTCGCATTTCGTTGTCTTAGTTTTTTCCTGGGTAACTTCTCCTAAAACTTGTAAACAAAGTTATATTTACATTTTTGTATATGTTCATTTCATTTGCCTCATTTATGTACAGTCTTGAGTTTATATATACAAGATGGTTATTATTATTTACATAAGGTGAAACCTCAAGTGTGCGCAGTTATCCACAAAATGTGTCCGAACAGCTTTCTTTCTCGTATTCTATTCCAGTTTCACATTCTTTCTTGGGTTTGCACACTTAAGTTTCCATCGAAAAATTCCTACATCGCAGCGTAAATCTTATGCACCTTCTGCCTGTACTTTTTTTTGTTGTGATATAATATATTTCATATGACCGATGATAAAAACATAAATGACACCAATTCTCTGGTGCCGTACGGCAGTTGTGCTCATTATGAGCTTATGATACGCGAGTAAGCGCAAATTCCTAAAAGTTGAACGACGATTTCAGCCAAAGAGAATGCATTTCTCATGCGTTGACTCTGTCCTGAGTTACTTTTCAAAACTTTTGCGTGCATATTCTATAATGCCCAGTCTAACTATGATTCTTGATTTAATTACCCAAAAGAATATACATCCAGAAGTAAACAGTGTGACTTTAAACATTGGTTAGGCTATGTATTTGTTTCTGGAATTAAACGAACAAGCTATTTGTTTTTTTTTATTAAACTTTGTTCGCTTCTACACACCGCAGAATATTTTTGAGTTTCCCATTATCGCCTGTTTGATTGTAATCAGTTCAGTCCATTCTGTAACATCAACAGTTTTGTGTAATTTAAAATTAAGATCTCTCGAAGCAGTACGTTTGATCCGTGGCTGAGCTAAAGATCAAGTTGGGTGTGAGAAAATGGGGCAGGATTTCACCATTGGAAAGATCAAATGCGGTTGGAAGGTTGGAGAGTGCAGCGTAAAAATATTGCGAACATGAAAGCTTCTTGGTTTCTCTTCAGAATAACTTACTTTTATCCTGTTCCATCCTATATTTACTCCCCCCCCTTTTTGAACACATTTATCATAAGTTTGTTTTAAATTGAGGTTTATAATATTTAATTAAAAAGCGCAATAAAGGGGGTGGTGGAGGAATATGATTGGCAGCCCTGGCTTGCACAAAATATCAGTCTCAGTTGATAGACCAGTTATCATGTCTAGTTTTTCCTGAAAGTGTTGAAATGTAGGTCACAATCCCTTCATATTCAAAAATATAATTTCAAAATCTTTGTCATTCCTTCCTGAATGTCTGAAGCTTTTAAAGCAGAAACATGAAGTTATGCAAATAAATACAGAAAATTCTGACTAAAGTAATGAGTGTCGTAAACTTTGGTCTTTCCAAGGTTTGGTGATCCCTGGCCCCATCTCTGTTTTTGAGGTAGCAAGCCCTAGTGTGGACAGAAGAGTGTAACACTGTTCTCTTATATCCATTTAACACATATAGCTCAACCAGAGTACTCACCAGTGTGTGGTCAAGAACATTGTGACAGTCAAACAGATCTCACGAGTATTACGTACGACTGGAAACATGTCCGGCCAGCATCTGACTGTCCGCCAGTGTTGTTTTTGCGGCAGACATGATGGGTGCTGATATAAGGATCATCAGATCCTGGTGGAACTATAGTACTTAAAAGTTAGGATGTGGGGTTTTCATGGCAGTGAGTCCAATGATCAGTGCCCTGATGATGGAGGCAGCAGAGACCTCTGGAATGTCAGCAAACTTCTACTGCACTATACGGTGCTACAACCCAAAAGACAGCCATCTACTTAAAAAGTTGGCACAACAGAATGTGCATGTGATCATTTCACTTATTTTGGGCCATCGTGTGAAACTTGTGCAACATAGTTGACCCCCCCCCAAAAAAAAAAAAAAATTATATTTTTATTAAACATCATCCCTGTACCTCTTCCAAAGTTAACATAGCACCAATGTTGGTAATTTGAAGACAGAGGTTTAAAAATTCTGGTATCAAGGTTATGGTGGAAATTATTTCCAGAGGTATGACTACGTTTAAAATGCCCTGTTGTTGCAGAATCTGAAAACCGAGGCTGTTTACGCTGGTTCAGATTGTCATACTGTGTTTCTCTAACGTGAGATCTAATATTATCCTTCTAACTACACTTATGTTTCCCAAATGACCTCTTCTCACTGTGTTTTCCAGTCAGATTTTATTACCTGTTTCTTATTTACTTGTGCATACTACTCATGCACTCTTCTTTACTATAATTGCCATAACAAACTATGTAATTTTCTGAATTTTCCTCTCTTTAAGCTCAGATGTTTTCCTCAGTACATCACATTCTCTGTTCTTCTGTCAGAATGAGAGACAAAACATTGAGTAATTATTACGATGTAGGAACTCAGGCTTATTGCAGAGAAGATATGGCTGTGTTTTGCTGATACATGCAATCATAATGTTGAGGTTGATTTTCCTCGTGCTATAACAGTTTTGTCTGTTTTGGATGGTGCCAGAGTCCAGCAGCGTCAGACAGTGGCAGCACCGGTTCAAATAGTCAGGGTAGCAGTTCCCTACGAGAAACTCCGCCAGTAACTTTGCCCCACGAAGGGGGCCATTCTACAGGAGCTCCAAACAACGTCATCCCCTCCCTTTCTAAATCAACATCTGGAATGACAACGTTACAGTCGGTCACGTCCATGGCTGCATCGCTGGCCGCAGTAGCGGCTCTTGGTTCTAACATGAGTAATTCTGGTTCCGGTCCTGTGACCAACATTCCCGGTGTTCCAACGCCACCCGGTGCTATGCCGTTCTATCCGCCCCCACCCCATCATCATGGAGGTCTATTCCCCCACTGGTATCTCTCACCCCCTCATTCCCACCTTGCTGGAAGAACTGTTCCCTCACCAACAGTGGCACTGGCTGATGGTTTAAGACTTGAAGCTGTGCCTTCAGTGAAACGGGAGCTCAGTACTACGCCCCCCATAGTGATGGCACTCCCTCCCACAAGCAGTACTTCAGAGCAGCCGTTGGATCTGAGTGCGAAAGCTGTTGCGTGTGCTAGTGACAGTGCTAGAGACTGCAATCCTGGGGCCACGCCCTCTGACCAGCAGCAGTCCCTGAAGGTTCCAAACATCGACAACAAGCACATTTTCAAGTGAGTACATAAGAATTCTTTTACATGCCGTCACTTACGATGTATGTGAAAGTGCTCTCCACATTTTATTTAACATTCCCAGAAAATGCAGGACTTCCGCGCTACCTGGCCCTCTGTTACGTAATTGAGATTTATGCCTGCTTACTGAATGAACACTTCATACACTGGACCAAAAGTTCCTAAAACTTGCAAGGGAGAGATCAATCAGACACTGAGTTCCGCAGAACTAAATTTTCTCGCTCTTGGGGCCAGCAAATCGAGTCTGAGTCCCGATAGTCTACCAACTGATCGGGCGGGTTACACATTCCTCAGAAGAAGACTGGCAGGACTGTCTTGAGAATCTTGTCCTGAACCTAGGGATGTCCCAAGGCGATACTGACATAATGCCAGAACAAGCAAAAAATTAAATTTTGTTGTCCAAAAATTTTGTCCTTCGTGGCAGCAGTTGTACTCGATGCACATTATCGCGTCGCTGTCTTTGCAGATTTCATGTTAGTTTCTGGCACATGTGCATGTTTGAAATTAGCACTTAAGCCATTCTAGCAAATGTGTGCCTACGGCAGCAAGACGTGAAACCCGTTTCCTTTCCTAGAAGAAAATGTAAATTTATGGTCATGTGCAGTCATGAAATTGAAAACAGTTTTTAAACAAGATTTATGTGCATAAATCTGTTCTGTTGGAAGCAGTTGGAAGAATGTTCGATCTGTATAATGCCTTGTGTTGTAATGTGTATGTCCCGAATACCAGTCTACACCTCAGTCTTCTTCTGTTGTTGACACTAACAGTGACTGTTAAAAAGTTGGATGTAACCCCCAATAGGGAAAAATATTTCTTCGCAGATTATTTTATGTCAGTGCAGTTTATGCTTGAAATGTAAAATATTTTAAGCGGTAGTACAAACATGCATTTTCTTTGTGTACTAGATTGGAGTTGTGAGACTGAACATAGAATGTAAGGATTATTTAGAATTTTTATACTTATGTTTACTAAATTGTGTTTCACACCCCTGAATGAGAGGCGTTTTGGAGTAGTTACTAATGCTGCAGTGGCCTCAGGTGGGGATTAGATGAGAGGCTGATCATAAAATGTTTGTAATTAAATAAATTTTGAAGACACGAACTTCATATAGAGATTGTTTAAGAATTTTGCAGTTTAGTAAGTAGGGTCACCCTCATATGTAGTGGACAAAAGACTTTACCATTCTGTCATCACATCGGATGCACGAACTTCTTCGTGAAAGTGCATCGGTTTTATCTAGACGTTTTGAGGGCTCTGTTATCTGTTTGTTTCGGTCTGCCAAACTTAGAGCCGGCCTCTTATCTCTTGCAGTGTCCCCCTGAACTTTTTATCAGGGTTCAGTTGCATTATCTGCTGATACAACAGCAACTTCCTTAACCTGTAATTCATTGCGACTTGTTTCTTACATAACAAGGAGGTAGCTGCTTGTTTATATGGTCACTGCACCATGGCAGGAGCAGTTTGAAGTCCAATTATTTAGACTGATGAGATCAGTTAAAGTGCACCTATGCATTGCTGATTTATTAATTCTTTTATAATGTTTGTAAGGTTATAATTATCCTAAACTGCAGTAACACAAATTATTCTCTAGACAACCTCATTAAATAAGCAGTTTCTTTGTCATGGGAGGGTGAGACAAGGAGTGGGGGGAAGCAGTAACTTCAAAAAAAATACCAAACTGCGATACATATATTAGGGATATATCTGTATATGTTGTCCAGTTGCTTTTTTATTGTAAGGTTTTTTATAGCATTGGTTTTAAATATATCCTTTCAGAGCATTTGCCCTAAAAGTGTTTACAAAATTTATGTATCATATTGTGAATCTTGGAACAAATTTCAAAATGTCAAGACTTGTGTTTGTTGTTCCTTGAACAACAAATACACACACACACACACATCTTGATGATGATGACAATGACGATGATACATTAAAAGATATTACACTTGACACAAACTTTTATTAACGATAAGTGGCAATATGTTTCACTGTTAACATATCTTCAGGCCACACAAGTGATTGGTGATTCTCATGTAGAAACATGGATGTGTTACATTGCCATGTGTACTCCCATGAAGTCATGGTATTCAGTTGTTTACTTTATTTTGAAATAATGAACATTATCCTTGGGCTACATTATAAACTGGTTTTATTATAGTTCTGATTTTAGTTATTCAGTAAGTGGTTTTGTATTACATAAATAAGGTGTGTAATGTATTGATTGAAAGTGAAATACATGGAAATAAAATGAATTATTAAATCCATGAATTTATGGGAGAATAAGTGCAACATAACGAACACATTTTGATGATTCGTGAGTCACCTGTGATTTCTGTAGCCTGAAGACAATATATTAACATCAAAACATGTAACCACTTGTTAATGTTACTTTAAATGTGTTGTATCAACTAATATTTTACTTAAGTATTATGTCGTCATAATCATCATCATCATCATCATCATTGTTATTTGTAAGCTGTGTTCAGAACTGGGATGCTTTAGGATAGGATTAAACTGTTCAGATCTTCCAATAATTGTAAGCTAATTACATAATATAAATTTTTTAATTGCTTCAGATTTATTAAGTGACTACCCCATTAAGTATTTTGAGAACAATGACTTTATGGGTTTACACTTTGTCTGTTGTTTTATATGTGGGGAATGTTGGTGCATGTGCCTCCTTCACAGGGCGAAACCCCGTATGAGTACAGTAGCTGGTCGCAGAACATACACGGAGGAAGAATTGCAAGCTGCTCTACGCGACATACAGAGTGGCAAACTGGGCACACGCCGAGCCGCCGTCATCTATGGAATCCCCAGATCGACCCTGCGTAACAAGGTTTACAAGTTGGCTCTGGAACGAGAACGAGATTCCCACCTGGTGCTCACTAACAACACTGCCACAGTGGGACAGGGTGCAGAGACACCCATCGTTCCCAAGACTGAGCCCCTTCATGATGAGGAAGATGAGAAAGAGCTCTCAGGGGCTGAAGAAGAACGTGAAGTGGAAAAGGCTTTGAGGAAACCGTTGTTGTCATTGGAAGACCTTGTGAGGTTATCAGTTTTTGGTGCTGGGAAGGGTCTGATAGCCAGTGATCCACTGAGAACACTTCTGCAGCATGGACGGTTCCTTGAAGATGGACTCCACAGACATGCCACTGTCAATGAGGATGGAGAAGATGGTTCCTCTCCATCAGTGTTCCCAGGATTCCCTCAGAACATTTTAGACATCTGGGGTGGCATGGAGCACAGCGCTCTTGGTCCTTACATTTCCCAGTTCCTAGCCAATTCAGCTGCTGAATGTAGCAGGGACACCGTAGCTGGCATCGTTGGAAGCAAGAATGTTGGTGGAGGGACATCGACACCTGAAGACAAGAGTCCAATAAGAGGAGATTTCCTTCCAAAATTTCCCATGCCTCTCTTGCCAGAATTTGTTCAAAGGATGATGGCAGAAGATAATAAGCTGCTGTTAGAGGAACAGATGAAGAAACATCACCACTTGAAGCACAACTTTCATCCAAATGGTGCCCATTCTAATGAAACCACTGGTGGAGATCCTGAAAAATATGCAGTCAGACATTCCACTGTGGCCACAGAAGAGTCACCTGACGCAGAAGCTTGTTCATCATCTGGGGCCACTCCACCTTCTAATGTGATACTGAAAATTCCGTCCTTCAAACCGACTTCAAAGAATGGAGTGGCCCCTGGTAGTGGTGGCAGTGCTGCAGATCCACAAGAATCTTCTAGTCAACAGTTCGTAAGAGGTAGTGACTCCTCTTCACCCCCTACCATCCCTCCAAGTCTTACTGGGAAAGGTATTGGTGTTAGCCTTAGGGAAGTGATTGCCAAGAGCATAAGCCAGAAATTTCAGCAGCACGGTTCGGGCGACGTCTCACGACTTCAGTTGCCGTCTAAACTCCTGCTGGCGCATGACGCTGTCATTGAACCTCCATTCAAACGAGGTCGATTTACTCCTCCACTCGGTGCAAATTCACCATCTGTCACTGCATCTGTCATCAAACAACACAACAACAACAACACCCATTCTGATGATAGAAATGCTCAAAAAATGTTGTCACAGGTTGCTGGAAAGTCAGTGGGAAGTTCTAGTGGTGTTAACAATGCAGGTAACCCTTCAGGGGGGAAAGGTACGCGTCCGAAACGTGGAAAATACCGTAACTACGATCGTGACAGTCTGATAGAGGCAGTCAGGGCAGTTCAGAGGGGTGAGATGAGTGTTCATCGTGCTGGCTCACATTTTGGTGTGCCACATTCCACTCTTGAGTACAAAGTGAAGGAGCGACACCTCATGAGGCCTCGCAAGCGTGAACCCAAGCCTCATATGGATGATACCAAGAAGAAGGATGACAACAACATTCTGAGGCATTCTGCTCCGACTCTAGAGAAACACAAAATTCCTGCAAAACCTATTCCAAAAACTCCTTTCACACCAACTTCTGGGATTCCAAATGCTCCGAATGGTCTGAAAATTCCTCCTATGTTTGACCCTGCTAATATGCCTCCAATGCCGTATGCAGCAGCTCCACCATTCCCATTCTGGACACCCAGTCCTTTCCACTCTTTGCCAATTGCAGACTTTCCCCGCAATGGTGCGAACAACACTCCTGTTAACTACAGCCCTTCTCCAGAATTTTTTGCATCACAAATGATGCAGCGGCTTCAGGAGGAATCTTCTCGAGTCAATGCTGGGGGTGGGGATGCCAGCAGTCCTATGGGTGTATCCACATCATCCAGTCGTAGTCCACCCCTCTCAAACCCAGGTGGAGCTCTTGGGAAAAGTGCACGAGAGATGGCAGAGAGTTTGTACGATGGAACAGGTGCAAATGGAAGTTTTCTTGATGGAATCATTCGCTCCAGCCTGGAGATGGGTTTACCTCCAGGTACTTCCAAAGAAGCTAGCAGCAGTAGTGCCCCTGAGAATATGTCAAACAAGGCTCTCCTGGATCAGTTGTGTCGAAACAGCCGTCTGACACCCCTTCCACGTGCAGTGTCTTTACCACTGACCGATGGGGGAGCGAGCAGTTCTGATGACGACTCCATGAAACCGTCTTTGTCGAAGAATGAGCGCGGACACTGCGGCATCAAGACTGCCGCGACAGAATCTGATGCGAGCGCGTCGGCAATTATTGATCTCTCTCCGTTGTCAAATGGATCAACAGCAGATCGTGATTTTCATCGAAAGCATACTGCGGAAGATGAGGGTGATGATGATGATGATGATGATACCTCTTCATCATCAGAAGAAGACACCAAAGTTGCAGCAACATTGTTTGCCAGCACACATGTCTCAGAATCACAAAAAGAAGAAACAAATGGCATATGTAAGGATGATAAGAAAGGGACAGATGGTGATAACAATGTTGTTACTGATGATGATGTCAATGATGAAAGTGCCTGTGATAGTAAAAATATTATAAAGAGAGTTGATAAAGATGCTGCCAAAGATGACAAACAAGGAGAGGGAGGAGGTGAAGATCCATTGGAGAAAGAGGATACCAAATCAAACATCAACTCACTAAGAGACTGAATTCTTTTTAGCCACTATTACTTAGCATGTTATATACAAACACTATGTGACAGAATTTTATTATTATATTATCAGAGGTGTATCTTTTTTTAGTCACCTTACTGTACTGATTTTTGTAGGTGTTGAATGTTGTAAGTTAGTGTGTAGTTCTGTCAATTGGGTTGCTCCCATTTTCACTTATTGGAAATGGGAGGGAATGTTTTTGTTTTTGTTGTAATTTTGTTTCACCTCAGTGGCAAAAATGTTTGAATCTTATCACTGTTTTTCTGCTGCTACATTTTGGAGGAAACAATTTTTTCTTCCTTTGGTACATCTGCATATTTTTATCTCTCTCTCTCTCGCTCTTTTTGAGGTCGACAATCGTAATGTTGCCAAAGCTATGTGAAAAAAAAACGTATTTATCAAATTCGGTAATTTATCTATCTATATATAATGATATATAGTGAGGGTGTTTAAAAATTGTTGGAAAATTAGCTGTATACATTCGTGGTGACTTTTTAAATATTTTTTTTAATCCAACAAAAAATTGTTCTGTGGCGGTTTCCCAAGATATCGTCCATCAAAGCAGTTTCATTTCATGTCTGTGTAAGTGTACTTTATGTGTGGTTGTTATATCTATCAATGTGAATGCATTAATGTTTGTGTATTTTTTAAAATGCCTGTGTGTTTATGTTCGTGTGTTTGGATGAAAGTTAAAATTTCATCTGGGGTGGGTATATTTTTTTGTTTGTGACATTTAAATGAAACTTGTGAGAAATGCAGCAGAAGTATAAATCAGTTCGTGTTTCGTTACGTTCGACTAAGGAGCGACGACGTCCTATTGCCAACTGCGGGTGTGCCATATTCCCCTCTGTATGTCAAAATTGTACAAAGTTTCAGAACATGAATCTCAACAGGCAGTTGGTATCCCGCACTGCAGCACAAGTTCCATTTGAAGTGTTCTAAAGAAAACTGATGTCTTTCTTAAAATATAAAGTATAAGGCAGACTGCTTTGATGTTGGATTACAGTTTTTTAAGAGAATCTTGGGATTCACCAAGAATTTTACTGTCTGTGATGAAGCCAAATTTTGAATGTATATTTTCTCTATTGATATCTTATATATACTAGACTAGTTTATATATTGAAAAATGGATTTTTTGTTTTTGACAATTGAAGTGCAATTAGAAATGGTACGACCTTAAACTATACACATACTGTACGTATATAAATATATTTACATTTTAAATGAGATGAAGATGTTCAAAAATGAAGGAAGAGAATCAAGAATGAAGGTGCAGTAAAAGCAGCAGCAGCAACAACTAACAGATTCCGACCACAAACTCTTTCTTTTAAATTAACAAGCAACCCAGCTTCGAATCTAGCCATCAGCTACAACAGTGCAGTCCCCATCAAGGGGAAGTACAGAGTTTTTTTTTTATATGATTTCCCATGATGAACCATGACACAGAGAATATTTTGTTTTCTTTACTACCAATGGACA